CAAAGCTGAAACCAATCCAACAAGTTAATGATAACTTAATGTCTGATTGTCAGGGATTCCTATATTTAAGTTTGAAGAAAATAAAGCATTTTAAAAAATAATTCTAGTTTCTTATTAATTATACTCCATACTACATAACAGAATGTAGTATAAGATATCCAGCATAGGTATAATTTGGCTTGGGAGAGAACTAATTGCTTAAATATTTAAGATTTGAATTATATGTGTTAGTTCTGTCTTTAAGGCATCTGACAGCATGGGCTTTAACCAAGGATTATAATGAGACTGTAATATCACCCTACCCCTTAACTGTGGTGTTATTTGTGTTATCAAAAGGATCTTAGAAAACCTTCTATAACTAAAAGTATTCCAGAATGTTGAGTATTCCCAAGATATGTGGGTTTCTGATAGTATAGTCCTAATTTCCCCAATCAATTCAAAAATAAATCTCTTTAGTTTCAATTTCATAGGATGAAGATAAATCCTATCGTATAAACAGATGGACAAAAAGGAATAAATTGCCAGATTTATTTTTCCACACTACAACACTGAAAGGAGTAACATAATATAATTCAAGACATATTATTTAAAGTGGAAATATATAATCTAGGTAAGATTTTGGTTATTTTAAAAATCTTTGGAGTAAAAGTTCTGATTGAGGAAAACATAACATGTGAAAGTCAGCAGAAAACAAGTAGAAATATATGAGGGAATTAAAGAAAAAGTCACATCATATCTTGTGAACTTTGAGTAATTCCAATATTTATGATTCAAAACAAATTTACCTTGACCAAGAAACAATGACCTACACAAGATTTTATATAATAATCCAATCTCCCTGACAATAATATTATTTTATTAGATATTATATTTACATTTTGTAGCAAAAATTATTATAGCAATTTCCCCATATAATGTTTTATTTAAAAACACAAAGATTTTCCCATATATACTTGAATCAGGTAGAATACACACAATACCACCATGCACACTTTTGTAATGGGTTTGTGATAAATCTGGAAGTTAAATGATTCTCCATTTTTAATAACAAAACTACATATTATAATCTCAATAGTCCAGTGAATTGAAAGAGAAAAGAACTGGTGTACAGATTCTGAAACAAGCACTGATACCTTTGCCTCACAGAAGACTTTCAGTAAAAATTAACTATCATTTCTCTAAATAGAGACTTAATCTAGTGGTTCAATCAAGTTACAGAAGAATGGGCTAGGTTATGTTGGGTAAGCTGGAGGCAGGACAATTTGACCGACCCAGCAAGCTACTATCTCTTTGTCTCACTGCTGAGGAAGACAGATAACCCCATATCTTTTCATTTTAGTTTTTTTTCTTTTAAAACATTTCAAATAATATAGAGAAGTATAAAAAAGAGTCTAGTGAGCATATATAGATACAACACTTTAAACATTTAGACATGATAACTTCACATGTAAATATTATACACATATACATACTGTTTTTCTTGAAAGTAGATACACTAAGATGACATATTATGAGATTCATGATAAAAACCATAAGGTGAGGGAAAGGGTATATTACTATGTGAGAAATATATACATATATATTTTCACATACTACAGAAAATTGTAGAATTTGGTTTTTTGTATCCAGCTTATGTCACTTAACATAATAATCCATTTTGTTGCTAATGTCAGACTTTTATTCTTTTTATGGCATTGTCATATTTTATTGCATATATATATGTATATATAAAAAAATAAATTTTTCTTTATCTAGTCATCAGTTGATGGACATGTAGGTTGATTTGTATTATTGCTACTGTGAATTGGGCTGCAATAAATATGGGAGTGCAGGTTTCTCTTTCATATGCTTACTTCATTTCCTTTGATTATATTCCCAGAAGTACAATAGCTATGTCATATGGCAGATGAATTTCTAAGTGTTTTGAGAAGTGTCCATACTGTTTCCATAATAGTTGTATGAATTTGCATTCCACCAACAGTATACCAGTGTTTCCTTTTCTTCACATCTTGCTAGCACTTGCTATTTTTTGACTATGGAATATGGGCTTTCTCTTTTTTATAGAAAAATTTTATTTAATAAATATATATTTTGAAAGTACAACTTTTGGATTATACCAGTTTCCCCCCATAACCACCCTGCCACCCACAAATCATCCCATTTCAATTCCCTTCTCGCATCCCACTCTTCATTGATTCATTTTTAATTATCTTTATATACAGAATATTGACTCTATACTAAGTTAATATTTCAACAGTTTACAGACGCACAAAGTATAAAGTACTGTTTGAAGACTAGATTTACTGTTAATTCACATAGTACAACACATTAAGGACCGAGGTCCTACATGGGGAGCAAGTGCACGGTGACTCCTGTTGTTGATTTAACAATTGACACTCTTATATATGATGTCAGTAATCACCTGAGGCTCTTGTCATGACCTGCCAAGAATATGGAAGCCTCTTGAGTTCATAAACTCTGATCTTATTTAGACAAGGCCATAATCAAAGTGGAAGTTCTCTCCTCCCTTCAGAGGAAGGTACCTCCTTCTTTGATGGCCCATTCTTTCCACTGGGATCTTATTCACAAAGATCTTTCATTTAGGTCATTTTTGCCACAGTGTCTTGGCTTTCCATGCCTAAAATACTCTCATGGGCTTTTTAGCCAGATCTGAATTCCTTAAGGGGATGATTCTGAGGCCAGAGTGCTGTTTAGGGCATTTGTCATTCTATGAGTCTGCTGTGTATCCCGCTTCCCATGTTGGATCATTCTCTCCTTTTTAATTCTATCAGTTATTATTTGCAGACACTGGTCCTATTTATGTGAGCATTTTGACACTTAATCCTATCTTTATGAGCAGTTATAAACTTAAACTGATCACTTTAACTAGTAAGATAGCATTGATAACCTGTCAACTTAATGGGATTTGGAGTCCCATGGCAAGATTTTAGCTTTACCTTTAGGGGTAAGTCCAAGGGAGTGTGTGCGGTACTGTACATCTCCTCCCTCTCTTATTCTCACTCTTATTTTTAACAGGGATAAATTTTCAGTTGGATTTAAGTACCTAAGAATAATTATGTGTTAATTAAAGTGTTCAACCAATGGTATTAATTAGAAAAAGGAAATACTTACAAGAATAAAATAGTAAGCTGTTCCTCAACAGTCTGGACAAGGGCTGGATCATAATCTTTCTAACTGGTATGAGATGACACCTCACTGTATTTTTTATTTACATTTCCCTTATGGCTAGCTATACTGGGCATTTTATGATGTATTTGTTGTCCATTTGTATTTCTCCTTTCAAAAAATGTCTATTCAAATCATTTGCCCATTTCTTTACTGTTTGGTTTGTTGTTGTTGAATTTCTTGAGCTTATACATTCCCTTAAATATCCTGGGTATAACACCATTATTAGGTGAATAGTTTGAAAATATTTTTCCCATTATGTCACCTGTGTTTTTATTAAATATTTCATTTGCAGTACAAAAGCTTCTTAGTTTGAAACAATCCTATCTGTCAACTTTGGCTCTTATTCTCTATGCTTTTTTGGGTCTTATTCAAAAGATCATTGTTTATGTCAATGTTTTAGAGTGTTTCCCCTTTGTTATCCTATATATTTTCTATAGTTTCAGGTCTTTCAGATCCTTCATCTATATCTGAGAAAGCAAGCACAAATGACCAGATCCCAAATATGTAGCACTAAAGTGGATAGGGAGTCTGTGATGTGAAAACACTGCCTCCATGAGTCAACATGATGTCCCTAGTGGAATAAGGGGCAACTGGGGACATGCTACTTCACACTTCCTCTGGAAGTCTCCTGAAATCAGTGTATTAGGCCCCATTTATCTGTTAACAAGCTATAAAAGAAAAAAAATCAGGACAGAAACTAGAGAAAAAAATATATTCTTCTGTAGCCCAGTAACCCTCGAATTCATATTTAGATCTATGTAACATAGATATTCACATGTGAACAGATTTATTATCAGAGACTCGAATTATAAGAGAAGCTAATTACTTAATGTTCATCTATATGCTATTTAGCATCTGTCTCTAGTCTACTTTTAAAACCAGAGATCAAAGATTTTATTATCCAGATTGTTCTAAAAGAACAAGAAAATACCACCTGATTAATAAGGATTAACATTTAAAAACATGATATTAACTGTACCCAAAAATTATAGTTACATAGAAAAACATGTTTAATGCACTAAGACATAAATTGCTAAATAAGTCATCATAAAGATAACATATAAAATGAATCACTTCACAGACTTGGTAACTGATTCACTGTAATTCTGATATGAATCCTTCACTTGGCTTTCAATTAGGCATAGGTAATGCTCTTACTAAGTATCATGCTTTAATTTAATTTACCTACTGATGAAATATTCTGTAATTTTATGATCAATGAGCTAATAGCAAAGCAAAATTGTCCTGGAGCCATGTGAAGTCTGCTGGGTCATTCTGAGTGGTTTCGATCCTTCCTCCCATTCATGGAGTAGGATCAGTGACTGGAAAGAATTGATGAAGAGATTAGCCAATGATGGGACTATGCAGCTAAATTGGGCACTCAACCGAAATATCCAAGTATCAGAATAATACTTGCATTGCGATAGAAGCCACTATGAATAATAGTCTTACCTGTCAAGGACTAAGATGGCCAATTGTTCACACATGACACCAATTTCATTCCAACACGTGTGATCAATATGAAAAATTACTAATCACAACAGTTTAAAATTACAAAGGCAAGGGTCTATTCAAATCTGAAGACTCCTTGACAACCAACTTAACCTTTCGAAGCTGATATTCAGCCTTAAGTGATAAGTCAATGATGTCTTCAATTATATTCCAAGGTGCTTTCATCACTCAGAGCACTATTTATATTAATAATGGCAAAACTTCAAAACAGAAATCTCCTCAACAGATATTTTAACATAAAAAATAATAAAAATTATATCAGAAGCATAAAATTCTTTCTGCTTTGAGTCAACACTGACCTTCTGTTCCAAAAGCAATGTGTTTGTAGGGATTGCTGCAAAAGCCTTGTAGCTTGACTTGATCTTGTATTGCTAGAATGGGTAACCAGAAAGCAAAGATGGAGATGAAAAGGAGGAAGAATATAACACAATTTTAGACAGTTGTTTGCCAAGTTAAGTGAAATGTTATCAAATGGAGAAGAGTTATTGTGCTTGAAAAAATTGTTAGCTATGTTAATATTTTATAAGAATGAGAAACAAAGAAATATCACAGTAAAATATCAGCCTAGAGATTACAGGCAATTGTTTGCCACTCAGTTTCACAACTTAAAAACATCCATTACCATAAAACCACACATAAATCTCTCATTAGCAGCCTTCTCTTGTAGAAATACTATTCTAAAAATGAGTAAAGAGGGCTTTTTGCTTTGATTCTCCAAGGGATATCTTCCTTGTTTATAATGCCATAATTAACAACCATTATGCCAATAAATTTAATCAGGATCTTGACACATTATTTCATATCACTCATAAAAACAAATATCAGAATAGATAAAATTTAACATTGGTTAGTTAACAAGTAGAAATATGGTCAATAACTGTAATATAAATGATATCAGCAATTTAGCTCCAAATGGAAAATCAAGAAGTACAAATCCCAAGCTTTGTGCAGTGACAGTATCATAGCCAATGAGGTTTATCTGAAGCATGATTATTGATAAGCAGAAGCCTCTAATCTTAAATTCATTTCTTAAAACCTTATCATCTTTTGCACTTTTTAATACAGTTATGCGATTGAAGCCAGTGATAAAAGGTTCTGTATTTCAAACAAAACACAAAGTATTATAGAACAGTTTTGTCAAGTAGTAAAGGAGGAAGATGATCATGAGGAAACTAGAAATCAGGATAAAATGCACAATCTAAAGCTAATTTTTAATACTAATCCTATCTCTTCAAATGCTCCTTAGGCCCAGAGCCAGAAGGGAAAGTGGCACAGAGCCTCAGCATGGCTTAGTCCTTTGCAAAGTAAACCAAAGAGCTCACAGAAGGCAAGGTAGTCAAATAATATTAAATCTTAAGTTATATAGATGTAATTGAAGCCACCTTCCTTCAGCTGGTGTGATGAAAGTAAGAGGCTGCCACACACATTTACCTTAAAAAGACATTGAAGTAGAGAAAAATCAAAGTGCCAAACCTAGAGTAAAATGTCAATGTTCAGCTAGAAGCAAAGAATATTTTTATATTTTTCCTTTTTCCGTCTATTGTGTTAGATAGAATAAAAATGAATTAGCAACCTGAGGCCTGGATGCTAGCAAGTAACACAGAAAGCTACCAGCAGATGACACAGAAAACTACCTAAGCAAGATTATCACACTCCTCATACAAATTTGCTTACTTACACACACACAAACTCACAAGCCCTCATACACAGACACATACATATGTGAGGGGTGTTCAAAAAATTTCATATAAAATATGCATTTTATATGTACTGTATAAAAAACAATGCATGAATTTAAAAAATTTTTTGCACCACATTAAACTTATCTTTTAAATCAATGTTTCCATGAACTTTCTACAGTCCTCATCTATACACATGAGCACTCAGGCATAAGCCTATACTCAGCAATACATGCATAAGGTCTCAGAAGGTATGTGCTTTGTTCTCGAAGAATGAACATGCAATGCTTACTATTTTTCTTCCTTCTCTCCTCCAAGGAGATTTCCTCCCCTTATAAAGAATTGTGTGGCTTTCTGCAAGTCTCTCAACTCTGCTTGGTTCTGCATATAGGAGGTATCTCAGTCTCTTCAAGCCCTAACCTTCTAAATTTACTACACTGCTACGGTGTCTAAACAACAATACATTTGGATGCGTTGAAGTTGAAAATGAAATGCCATCTCTTTATGGGCATTTATTACCGGGAAAATTGCATAATTGCCTCCCTGAAGCTTATTGAAGCCCTATAATGGAAGAGTTATTGAGAAAAGCAGAGGTCAGGTGACTTGTCGAAGACCACACAGCCCAAAAGAATCTGCCTTGATCCATTGTCCATTTTTTCTCTATAAAACAGGAATTTTATACAAAAATAGGTAAACAGACTCTAACATAGAACACTGTTCATAATCATAATGCTTTTGCAAATATTTCATTGTAATAGTAGTTCAGTAATAATAATAACTAACCATCAGCTCCCTGTTAATATATATGCTGGGAGGCAGCAGTTGATGTGCAAAGCATTTACTTCACCAACTATTAAGTCATAACTGGGATTTGGACAGAGGCACTCAAGCTCAATAGCGATGCATTTAATTACACACACCCTTGAGTCTCATTTCAGGATGTGTAATGATAGCATTTGTTTTTCTATCTTCAACTTCTCTAAAAAATAGAGGTGTAGAGGCTGTACAGAAAGGTATCTTGTCATTGCACACATAATTTCATAGTATGTTAGAATCAGGGCTGATAGTGAAAATTACCTGGCTCAATCACCTCATTTGAAACATGACTCTTTTTCTGTTCAGTAACCACAAGCAAACTTGTCTGCTTACAAAGCATATTCAAACCTTATTTTAAAAAAATTTCCCTCATATTGAATCAGATATGCTTTCTACTAATTTATTCCATTGTTCCTATTTCTCTCTTCTTACATTCATTACTCATGCTAATAGCTCTCTTCTGTATGATAGTTATATTGTCACCTTCACCAACCTCTGACATTCAAATGAAAAATTAGGAGACCTTCTTCACTCACCTGTGTTAATATCCCTTTAAATTTGAAAAGATGCATGTTTAACTAGATGTGCTTTTAACAAAAAGAAGGACATTATCTTCCCCTACAGGACATCAACAATTAGCTCAATTAATGTAATCAAAATGCTAATAATTAGTAACATCTCCTTAGCTTTGTGGAGAGTTTAAAATACACAGGAAAGCAGGTCGGAGTCATTTCATATTGTTGGATCATACTGGGTATTCTATTGCTTAAAATCTATAATCCTTTTGTTTTGTTAACTGTTTGCTGATAAACTCCACCCTGTATTTATGGTTTTTTTTTTCCCTTTAGGCCTAAAAATTGAACTGTAGGTACTATTTACATCCAATATTGTCAGATTAGATTTAATGTCCCATTATAAACTATGAATATATGAATTTTTATATTATTTCATGGATTGTTTTCTTAGGAGTGTGAATTACATCTGCATTCAAATCATATACAAAAGAGAGAGAGCTCTTGACACTGGGTTTTCACAACTTAGTGTTCCTTAATCCATTGTGTAAGTCAATTTGGATATGGCAACTAATGGATTAATTCAATAAATATTTGTTGAGGACCTACAACATGAGATTCATTGTTTCTTAATCATCATATCATTTTCAGTCTTAAAATCATGCTTGTTGTCTTCAAAGATACATTTGATATCCACTAGCTTTCTTCATGGTTCTCTTAACAAAATATAGTACACTCAATCCAAACAAGGAGTTTCTTTTAAATTTTACTTTGGAACATATTTCATCTTTACCATTGCAAAGCTTCTATGTACTAAGCCAAATTCATTACTTGCCCTGTTCAGTTTAAAATTTTGAATAGTTCTACAGAAGGCAGTTCATGTAATTTGAATCACTGTGGTATTATAGACTAGAATCATTATCAGAAGGTAAAGGATAGAAGGGACTAGTCTAAATCTGAGTTTGGCAAAAATTGCAATGCTACCTATTGTAACTCTAATTTGTAATCTATGCTTTTAGTTAACATTCAACAAATATCTCATAGATATTCATCACATATTGCTAGAAAAAGTTTTAGTTTAGAAGAGAAAATGGCATTTGGTATTTATATTTACCACACCTAATTCTATTTATAGGCAATGCTAGATACTTCAATATAAATTCTCAGTGTGAAGGGAAGGATAGCAAGAACACATTCTGCTCCTTCAGAAAATACTTCTCACCACTATCCTAGCACCTGTTGATAATGCTTATAATTCCAGTGTGATGTATGTTAACCACCTTCAGAATTGGTGATTTGTATTCACTGTTATAATTTAAGTGCAACTAAATGGAAGAACCTAGAACATAAAGGTCAGAATAAGAGACACCTGGTGAAGCTTTCCTATAATGATGGTTAACTTCTTGGAGCATCCATGAGCAGAGATGAGAGGAGCACTCTAAATGTACACTTCTTACACATTTCCCTAATAGCAGCCCTGAGAAGAAAACTTAAACCAAGTCCTTACACAATTTAAGGGATATTACCCAGACATCTCCTTTACATCTGGCTTGTGGGCTCAACACAATCTATAATGACCCTGGATTGCTGGATGGCAGATAGACTTCACTGCCAAAACCTGGCTGTAGATCATGGCCTGGCAGAGGAAATGAGAAAGTCTGCTGAGAAAATTTCCCTCTCCCTTCCCAAGGCCTCTCTCCACCCCTGATTGATTTGCTTGCCTTTCTAGCATCCTTTAAGCACATCTGTTTCATTGGGTTATAATATTTTCCACTCCTATCTGCCTACTAAATCATTACAGGAAAAATTTTATACTGTTTCTCCTTTTATTTTCAAAACTTAACACCTGGAAGAGAACACAGGTTTAGCAAATATTTGTTGACTTGTGTTTATATATTTAATTGAAGATTACAAGATTCAGAAGACAGGGGAAAATGAAAATTTTAGTACTACATCTATTGTTCAAGTCCTAGACAAAGCTGGCTGTTTAAATTCCCTCTTCCCCTCCTCCAAGCAAGTTTTGGTAGCTTTTGTTAACAGCTGAAAATTCTTCAGTCATCTTCCTTTTGATGAGAACTTGCAAGCCTTGAACACAAAACCGTGGATTGCTATTTTTTTCTCTTGTAAAATCTCTTCTTTGAACTAAATTGTACATACCCAAATTCAAACACAAATATATAAAAAGAAGCTTTAGTCAATTGTTGATACCTGAGTCATTACCAAGATCTCTTCACAGAGGCTAGCAGGAGAGAAGCAAAAGAAATAAGACAGAGAAGTGGTTAGTATAGAGACTGAAGTGACAGTTGAAGTGGGTGGCAGAATCACTGAAAGTCAGTAATCCCCAGATAGGTGCAAAAACTTTCT